TTGCTGATATCACACAGTGCACTTTTTTCTATTTGTTTATTTTATATATGTGAGTACACTGTAGCTGTCTTTGGGCACACCAGAAGAGGGCATCAGATCCCATTACAGATGGGTTGTGAGCCATCATGTGGTTGCTAGGAATTGAACTCAGGACCTTTGCAAGAGCAGCCAGTGCTCTTACCCGCTGAGCCATCTTTCCAGCCCCACATGTACTCTAAATTACTGTCAGTCTTCGAATGTATGGATTGGTCCCTTCACTCCTACTCTTTAAAATATACACATTTATTTTTCTATTATTGGGGGCAACGAATTCCATAGCACCCATGAGGAGGTCAGAGAACAGTTTTGTGGGCTTGATCTTCTCTCACCTTTACATAGGTTCTGGGGATCCAACTCAGGCCCCCATCTTATCATCTCTCATGCTCTTCTCAAATACTTTCAAACTTGTTTTAGTTGGGCCTGTGGGTTTTGCTCAGTGATTACAGTACATGCTTAATATTCACAATGTCCTGGGTTCAAATCCCAGCAGCAACATATACATACAAGTACACACACAGATGCACACACATACACACAAATTCACACACCCCATAGACATCACACAAACACAGGTACATATACAGATCCACACACCATACAGAGACAGACACAACAGATGCACACACTCACACTCACACACACACATACACACACATACACATACATACATACAAATGCATACATATACATACATACACACCTAAGTACATATATACACAAACCTCATAGACACAAATACACCTACACACAAATATACACACCACACAGATACACAGACAGGCACACACAGATGCACACACATACAAATATTCATACACACAAATGCACCCACCACATAGACATACACAGTCAAACAGACACATACACTAATATAGACACCACACAGACAGACACATAGACACACATATTCATAGACACACACACATACAAACACATACATAGACACATAGAGTTTTAGTCTACTTCCATGGTCTTTCTTTTTTTATTTTTCTTTTAAAGTAATGAGACAGGCCTAACTCTGTAACAGCCTGGAACTTATTATGTAGCCCAGGCTTCTTTCTAGCTTAATCTTTATACTTCAACCTCCCTACTGCTGAGACTGTAGATGTGAGTGACCATAGTTGACTAGTTCCATGGCATTGCTGTGAGTTTGAGACCAGGCCAAACGACATAAAAGTTCCAGGCCAGCCTTGACTTCATAGTGAGACTCTGTCTCAAAACAATAAAATCATATCATTTGAAGAAGAATATATGAAACTTGAAATCATTATATTGAGTAGGACTCAGACAACTGCTATTTTCTCTTGTATGCAGAATCTAGGTTAGTTCATTTATTCATCTTAATTAATAAAACATGAAGGTGCAAGAGTGGCTTTTTGTGAAGGAAAAGTGGACCACTGGAAGCAGGGAGGGAGGCAGGAAGGGGTGGCAAGAGTATGGTCAAGAACATGTTGTGCACATTTGAGAGTTTTGTGAAGGATGTCCTTTTGTATAATGAACATAAACTCATAAAACTAGAAACAGAAAAAAGACAACAAAACCAAAGACTTCTTGGCTAAGAAGTCTCCCTGCAGGTGTCCCAGATCTTTCCTCCCAGGTAGAGCGAGTACGATAAGGATGAAGTGAAGGAACATCATCAGGTTCCCATGTTAGAAAAAATGCAAGACACCAGCCAGACAGTGTGTTCTCAGGAGCACCCCTTTTTCCTCATACTCATGAGGCTTGATGCCTGATAACAAATAGCAGGTGCAAATATAGAGACAGGAACAGAAAGGTCCTAGGTAAAGACTCCAGCTGATATTCTGTCTGTCATGCCATTTGAGACCACTACTGTGACTTGTAATGGCAAAGGAGCCAGGTGCTGAATACTGAAAGAAGAGCATGTGCAAAGAAGAGGAACGGTTGCAGAGGTCCAGCAGTACCCAAGGCCGAGCGGTACATGTAAGGCTGAGCTTCAGGCTGCCTGGAGTCCATATCAGTGCAGGTGCAGCTTGACTGGCCATTTTTGTTCTGTGCAAACTGTAGTGCCACTGTGTACACACTCTAGGCACGCTGCCTTCATCCTGTGCCTGGGATGGGCTCGTGGGCTTGCAGTCTTCCACGGTGGAGTCTCTGAGCTGTTTGGTACCCTTCTTTACGAGATTATCTCCATGGTAGGCCTGAGTCAGTGCTTCCCGCCTGGCTGCAGATGCCCCATTGGCCTTAGTGTTCGATAATTAATGTGTCCTAGTGCCCAAGGACGGCAAAGAGACGTGGTGAGAAACTGACAAGAGCCTAAGTGAATTTGCCATTAAGAAGTGGGAGGCCAAGCTTATGCAGGTTGCATAAGATAACATATTCCAGGGCTGAGTCAAGGCCTGAATGCAGGCCACTTTGGCATCAAGATTATCATCTAGAGTCTATATGGAACTCATTAGCAAGTCCATAAATAAACGGATTGAAAATGGACAGTAAAATTAAATAGACATCTCTCAAAACTATGTGATACCAATGACCAGGAAGTATGTGAAACAGTATTCAACATCATTAATCATCCCAGAGAAGCAAAATTAAAATAAGATATCACTTCATCACACACTGGGGATATAGCTCAGTAGAACACTTCCCTAGGATATGTAAACCCATGGGATTTTATCCCCAGGACCACAGTAAAAGTGATTTTCAATAAAAAGTTAAAAATAAGCCAAATGCTGACAAACACTATTACTGAAAATGTAAGCTATTATAATCCTTATGGAAAGCAGTGTGGAGATTCCTTAAAATGTTCAAAATGCAGCCATCATCTGACTTGGCTATCCCACTACTGGGTATATAATATATCCAAAGGAAAATTAAATAACTGTGTGGAGACATCTGCTGCACTGTTTATAGAAGCCAAGATGTGGAATTAACCTAAATCTCCATCAACTGAGATGTAGAGGAATTTTAATTCAGCAACATGGCTGCTCTGGCAAAGGATCACATCCAAAGATATGATCTGTCCAGAATGCAGATACACCTTGGGTTACAATATTATCTGGCTGGAATACAGACACACCTTTAGTACACACCTTTAATCCCAAACAATGAGATTAAAGACAGGGTTAGCTTGTAGAAGAAAGCAGCCCTGCTTGAAAGTGACCTATCAATGTGATTATCAGAGAGTTGATCTATGTATGTTTAGAATGGAATGACAATTGAGGGGCAGACAAAGTATGGAATCAGAGAAAGATTTGACAGAATGAATCAGGGATAGGATACACCCAACTTACATGAGAACAGCAGAGGAAGAGAGACTACTTAAGAGCAGTGAGAGAGAAAAAGGGGTGATGTGTGTGTGTAAGGGGGGCAATTTTACTGGGACAGTTTTACGGAAACAGGCTACAGAGAGAACAAGCTAGATACAGGTGAAGACTGAGACTGAGAAGGAGCCAGAAGATTAGAACATATTGTCAAAGTTAGCATGAGACCAGGCAGAGCAGCTCCACCAGAAGCCAAGAGAAGCTAGATTGAATCAGTCAGCTTGAAAGATTAGATTGAAGGAGGCTAGAAGCTTCCAGGTTTAGGCATAGTGATAGAACAGGGAAGGAAATGCTCTGGGATCAGCTAGGTAGAGCTCTCATCACTTCATCTGAAAATAAAATTGACATTTACAGCGATACATGGATAAAAGCACCTATACACAGTGGTACACTGTCGGCCATAAAAGGCTGACAGAGATGATCAGGAAGATCTTAGGTTAAGTGAAGTAAATAAGGCACAGAAAGACAAATAGCATGCAGTCTCATTCATAGGTGATTGAAGAGTTGACCTAGTGTATCTTTAGAATGGAATGACAATGGTAGCTAGAGGCTGGAGAGAGTAGTGGTTACAGAGAGTACAAAGCAAAGATCGGTCAGCAATTATTAAGTTACATAGCAGAGCTTATTCTCGTGTCCTGTTGCACAGTGGAATAATTAGAGAGGAAAATATAGATTTTAAAAGATAGGATATTTGAAAGCTTTTAACCCAAAAGAAATGACAAATGTTTGAAATAGGCTTGCTTTTATTTGAAATAACACATTGCATTCATATGATAAAATACTCACAAATATAATGGGTACATTTTTTATATGTTCATTAAAATAAGTAGGGCCAGTGAGATGGCTCACTGAATAAAGGCACTGTTGTGAAAACCTGCTCACCCATATTTGAACCTGATTCCCATTGGTGGAATAAACCCTAAAGTTGTCCTCTGGTGTCCATATATACTCCATGGAATATACAGTCACACATACACACACACACACACACACACACACACACACATATCGTACATACATACTACTAATAAATAAATTATTAAGTAAAAAAAAATCATGCTGGGCAGTGGGGGCACTCAGGAGGCAGAGCAGGTAGGTCTCTGAGTTTGAGACCAACCTGGTCTACAGAGTGAGTTATAGGATAGACAAGGCTACACAGAGAAGCCCTGTCTTGTAAAAAGAAAAAAAATGCTCTTGAACAAATAACATGCCTCTGTTTGTTTGTTTGCTTGCTTGCTTGCTTAATGGGGAAAGTAGCGGTTCTTCTACTCAGTAGGGTCATGAAAAGCTGAGCATAATGGCAAATTCCAGTACTCTGGAGGCAGAGACACGTGGATCTCTGTGTTCGAGGCCAGGCTGGGCTACAGAGTAAGTTTTAGGACAGCCAGGACTACATAAAGAGACCCTGTCTCAAATAAACAAAAACAAACAAACAAACAGAAGAGGAGGAGAAGGAAATTAAATGGAATATTCCTGTAACAATGGTCTATATAGAGTATAAGCAATATTCACTAAAGCTTAGCTATTATTATTACCACCAATGTGGCACCATGTTGTCACAAAGACACAGTGTGATAAAATTGCAGTCACTGTTGATGAACCTGCAAGGCTTTTCACCTGGAGCTATGCTAGCTCTCACTGTCACTCAGAGGTCAGCTTCTCTACTTAATTTCATCCCAGATGGAGTGTCCGTTTTGCCTGCCCCTCAGAACCTCTCTGTACAGTCAACCAACATGAAGCATCTCTTGAGGTGGAACCCAGTGACCCAGCCGGGGGAGATGGTATTCTATTTTGTGGAATACCAGGGGTGAGTTTGGTTTGTTTTTGCTTAATAGTTTTTCTTCCTTAGATAGCACTTCTGAGAAGGATAGCCCTTCCTTCCCTACTCCAGGAGGCTCTGAGGCTCAAGAATAGATGTTTTACCCAGTCCACCCCTTAGTGTTAATGGGTTTGAGAGACCCAAATACATTTAGATGTACCTGTTTTCACCAGTAAGAAAATTGGTGAGTTTGCTTCTCAGTTGGAACGGACAAATCCAGAGAGCTAGACCCTTTGAGGTGTAGGAGGCCATAGTTTCCTTGACTTATTTGTCAAGTCCAAGTAAGTCTTGATCCTGAAGTTCAGCTGGCCCAGGGGTGGGTGAACTTGGATCTAGTTTTTTTCAGCTGTCCAGGCTCTAGCAGTTGCTGAGAAGTGCCTGACAGAGTTAGTGCTCTACACATTTAATTAGCAATTGTAAGACCTCAGGTTAACCTGTAAACCCACCTCTCCGATGACCAGGTAACTTCCTAGATGTTAGGAGCTACAGTTCTTGGAAAATAACAAGGCCACATGGAAAAATATGATGGCCACAAGGATTTGTCTTTAAAAGCCTCTACAACATGTGTTTTGAGGCCACTCCCTGAGAATTCCAGGGAGTTGTCCTGACCCAAGTCCATCCTGGTCAGTGTTTAATTAAATCTTGCTTCAAATTTGGCTCAGAATTGTGGAACTGGTTTTTCTCTTGGGGAATCTCAGGATTAAAACAACAAGCACAAATAGAGCCCTACATGTGTGGACATTCTTCTAGGCTCAGGGATACAAAGATGTGCATTTGTAGATACAGGGAAACTAGCTTCTAGAGGAAGAGATAGCTAAATACCCAGGGTATGTACTCCTCAGCCACTAGCTACTAGTAGCTACTTAAGTTCAAACTAAATTGAAACATGTTACTGAGTCCCCTGTCCCCTTCTTCCTTTATCATATGCCCTATAGCCACAAGTGGCCAGTGCCTACACCCAGCAAACAGCATTGACACAAAACATTTCAGTCTTCACAAAGAGTTCTATTGGGCAGCAGAGCTTGGAGCCAAATGCAGAGTTTTGGAGTCCCGATAGGAAGCTGTTAAGGCTGATGCAAAGAAGTTGAGTTTGCAGATCCTTTGTCTTAGGTCGTGGCCTCAGAAGGAGGTGATACCCTACCTGTGAGACTCAGCATTTTGAAGGAGTGAGCAACAGGTCAGTAGGATAGGAACAGCATCTCTAGAGGGCAGGATGGGAGAAGGCCAGTGTCTCACAGGAAGTCATGAGGGACAGAACTTCATAATCTGCTCAGTGTGCAGTGTTTGAGAATGGAATCTCCACTACAGAATGTGGAGTATGGGAAACCGCGGCGTGGCAAGGTGTGGTGTCAGCTGAGATGGGAGTGGTGACAGTGGACGTAGAGAGACAGGAACAGAGAGAGTCTAATAGTGAGGTTTCCAGGAGAATGGTGGTTGGGGTGGGAAGGAAGTAGAGGATCTGGAGCTGGGGAGAGAATGCTTGTTCTTCTGATGCACGAAAGCACAATGACAGCAATTATAACCATCTTCTAGTTTGCCTCAAAGGGTGTGCCTTCTTCTCCTTGCCAGGGAGTATGAGAGCCTGTACATGAGCCACATCTGGATCCCCAGCAGCCAGTGCTCACCTACCAAAGGTCTGGAGTGTGATGTCACCGATGACATCACTGCCACAGTGCCGTATAACTTCAGGGTCATGGCCATGCTGGGCTCACAGACTTCAGCCTGGAGCAACCTAGAGCACCCCTTCAATCGAAATGCAAGTAAGGCACAAACCCTCCAGCCCTTAAAGGAACTACCTTCAGCATCAAAATAACTGGTGTACTTATAAACACAAAACCTTACTGATATTTTTTTAAAAATTGCTGACTGTTTCACGTGTGGTCTCTCTCCTTCCCCACTTTGGGAGTCAGTCCTGACTGTCCTTGTTAGGGTCCACGGGTATTGACATTCCAGCACTTGCACTAGGATTCTTACTCTGATCATGCCTCTGTAATTTTTTCCCATCTGGAGCCTTGTTAACACCATACTGCTGAGAGCAGCTTCATTGTGTAAAAACATCTGTACATTTAACAGCTACTAGAAACATGCCGTTTCTGTGGCTGCTGGCAAATAACTTTTCTATTGCAATTATAACTGGAAAGTGATTGAAAGGTTAGAGAAGAGTCCAGGTAAGTGGCCGAGGGCAAGCCATGGCTATCGTGTAAAAGGACCTGTGTGTTTGGGATGAGGTGAGGGCTGGATGGGCAGTGGGCAGACGAAGCAGCTGGCCCTACGGTAAAGCTTGCTTGGGTTGGGATATGGAAGCAATGGAAGGAGACAGGGTCTGGGCCATGTCTCTCTTACGGAATGAATACTATGGCCATTGTGAGGAAAGTGAGCTGGAATAGGGTAAGCCTGCAGAGCAGAGGAAGAACGAGAGGGGGACTGATAGCACTCAGCTAAGCCAAGATGGTTTCTGGTCTCTAGAGTAGCGGAGGAGGTACAGGGGAGTAGATGAATTCAGGAGACATGGCTTCATTTAAAATGGATAGAGCTTAGGGATTTGTTAATGAGGGGTAGAGTAGGGAGACAGAATCTAGCTTCTAGCCTGTGCTGTCTAAGGCAGAGAACCCCAAAGGAGCAACTGATCTTGAGGAATAGGAGACACTCTGTCTATGTGTTGTTTGGAGCTGAGCTCCTGCAACATGGCATGCCATGAATGTCTGACCAACAGCTGGAAATCAGGCCCCGGGGCTCTTGGAGATGAAAGCCAAACACACAACACAAAGTTATACTAGCTCCAGGCCTGGAGTCGATGTGAATGTCCAGGGACAATGTAGGGACGATAAAAAGAACTCAGGACAGGGTCCCAGAACCTCAGGGTTTAAAGCATAGACAGAGGAAGGATTTGAGTAGGTGACTGGGTAGGCAGAAGGGGCAGAGAGCACCTGATAAGCTTAAGGAGGCCCTTGGGTGGAGCTTGAGAAAGTGACTTGGCTGCAACTTCCACTCATAGAGGACCAAGTGGAGATGGGACGGGGCAGCTTCTTGTCTGAGGTGGGAGTGGGCAGGATGGTAAGTTTTGTGCTGAGGAAGAGCTGGGCCTCCAGTGGCTCATTTTCTTCCAATGGCAGAAGATCTGCTTGGAGCAAAGGCTCGGGAACATTAGGTCCCAGTCTCTAGTAATGGAGTAAGTCAAGTCACTGAGGACAGAGGATGCTGACTGGAAGTCAGGAGGGTTTAGGTGCTGAGGCATCCCAAATTAGCCCTGAGGAATCATGAGGGTTGGTTCAAATCCAGCTTGGAACTTGATAGCTGTGTGAGTTCAAAATATTTTGCCTCATGGGATAGCTGAGGGGGACCATATGAACTGTTGCTAATATTATCACTGTTGCCCTGGGGATGCCGGCCGGAGCTGAGAGCCAGTGAACAGATGAGGCGCATAGGGCTGTTGGAATGGGATGCCAGGGAGGCTTTTGTTGCAAAATGTGGACTTCTCTGCTGAGCATCTTTCCCAGGCACCAGGAGGACTTGGCTGAAGTGGCAGGAGCCCAGTGTAGACACTGGAGGCTTATGGGCACTGGAGGACACTGTAGCTCTTCCTCTGCTCACAGAGTTCAGGCAGAACCCAGCACTGCTTCCGCTGGCACCTGAGAGCCTGAGACTCCAGCCAATAACTCCTCTGGGGTCTGGCAGCTATTGCTGGAAGGAAGGCCAGGACAGATGGAGATCAGGGAGTGCCGACAGTTATTTGGGAGGGGCTGGGCAGTGAAATCTGTGCTCAAGAGGCCAGCAAAAACAGGAAAAGGTCTTGCTGCAGGGGAATCTGAGGGATAGGAGTTTGCATGTGCTGAAGAGAGCAGAATCTCAAGAATCCTGTCGGCTTCATGTGTAGTGGAGTCAGCAACCTAGCTGGGTTGGTACTGGTTCTCTCTCTCTTATATTTTCCCAAGACAGGGTTTTTATATGGAGCTTTGGCTGGCTGTCCTGGAACTCCCTCTCTAGACCAGACTGGTCTTGAACTCCCAGAGATCTGTCTGCCTCTGCTTCCCAGGTGCTGTGATTAAAGGTGTGCACCACCACCACCTGGCTAGCAATGACTCTCTTAAGGGCACCCCATCTGCCTTTTCCATTTGAGAGGGTCACTCTGACTTCTCTGACACATGAAAATCTTAATGTTCTCCAATGGAGCTATCCTATTCTTAACCTTGTTGAGGGCAGATATTCTTAACCTACATTTTATGTTATAGTCATACGGAGCTTGAGGCCCTTACTGGGGCCATTTCAGGGGTGTCTGACTTAAACTATGTGTGAGCATCCATTTTTTTAAAAATCTAAAATTCTACCCAGGTTTTTGTCCTGTGTAGCCAGAGTTGCGGCTCCTGCTGCAGAGGAGGAACACCTCACACAGGAAGCTGGAAACAGAGACTGACATGGGCTCTAATTCTGACTGTTAGCTGTGTGACTCTGGACAAGTCCCTTAACATTTCTGTACCACAGGAATAACATTTACCTTGGGTCAATTGAGCCAGTTATACTGAGTGTGTAGACCAGAGATTTCTGCCTGAGTGTGGGCAGAAGAAAAAGGAAGGAAGGAAGGGAAAAGAAAGGAAGAAAGAAAAAAACCTAACTCTCCATACTGAAAAAGATGGCATCAAAGGCCCAGATTCTGACCATATGGGGAGTGGGCATTCTCTGTTTGCAGGTATTACAGAGACAGTGGTGCTGTGTCTGGACTAGCTACATTTGCACAGGTGGCCTGACTTCCCAAGTCCTCTTGTCCTTTCAAGGGACAGCTCACCAAACCCAGGGATATTTTCTCCAATGAGGGTGGCAAGCAAACACTTTGCTCTCTGAATGCTTTCTCTAGGAACTGCCTTTCTTCTCCGTGCCCCTTGGCCTCAATGCAGAGGGATTTAGCCCATGACACTTCCCTTCCTACTTCCCAAGCCAATACCAACCATCACACAACCCCTTCTGGTCCTGCGGTCTCAAGATTGATATCAAAGGAGGGGAGGCAGCCGGTATGGCCCCTTCTGTTCTTGGCCGGTTGGTGGGAAGGCTGGCAGCTTCTTTGTTTGAGAACCTGCAAAATGTAAAAGACGGCATTTGTGCTTGGGCTGTGATTTCTAAAACTGATTGTCAGAATTTCTAAGAAACTGCTGAGTTGCTGACAGGTTTTAATGTGAGATTAAGAATCCTTGGGCCAAGAATAGAAGGACTAAGCCACCCAAGTTACTGATGTCTGCAAGGCACCAGATATATGTGCCAGGGCTCTGTGTGAGCAGTAGGGAGAGATGCACGGGGTTGACTGTGTCAGGTGTGTTCATTCCTAAGGGGCAAAGGCGATGCCAGCAAGCGTTAAGGTGTTGGGGATTGGTTCTAATGCTTTGATTTAATCGGGAATCTGCGTGTCCAAATGCTAAAGGTCCTGGTCCCCAATTGGTTTTTGATAGATCAGTAAAAATGCCAGCGGCCAATGGCTGGCCAAAGGGAGACTGAGCAGGGCCTTTAGATTTGAGCAGGCTAGGATCTGGGAAAAGGAAACAGAATCACCATGACTCGGGGAAGAAGGATGGGACACAGGAACCGCAGAAGAGAAAGCCAATCAGCCATGTGAAAATTCGAGTGGATAACCACTGGCCACGTTTTCGACTGGGCATGGGGTAGCAGGTGAAGATTTAGGAGTTCCCTTTGAGGAACCTTTGAGGTAGCCAAGGCATTTAAAAATTAACTGGCATGTGTATGTGTGTCCTCCATTAGTGAATCCAGATAGCTCCTGGGCGGGTGCACGCATGCGCCCTGCTGGGAGCCAAAGCAGTGTGGCTAAATTCACCACTACGTTAAAGAACAGTATCGCTCACTCAATGACAAGTTGAAGAACAATGAAACAGGGTGGTAGAGAGAGAAGATGGAGCACGTGCTTTTTTAAATTTTTTAAATTTTTATTTATTTATTTTTTTGAGCATGTGCTTTAAAAGGGAAAGAAAGCAGCAATGTTTACTTGAGTCCTTCCTGCCTTCTCTTGAGCCTATGCTCCCAGAGAAGGAACAGATGATTTGGGAATAAAAGAAAAAAAAAGAATGAGTTATAGTAAGTCTTCATCATTTGTTTTCTGCTCATTCATTATTCAAAAAGCATTTTATGAGGATCACCAAAATAGCTTAGCAAGCAAAGGCACTTGCTAATAAGCATGATGACCTGAGCTTGACTTCCGACCCACCTGGTGGAAGGAGAGAACTGGCCTCTGTGTTACACACACACACACACACACACACACACACACTTTCTCTCTACCCCCAATTATATCTTGAAAACAAATTTTAATATAAATAAAATTTAAAAAGAATTTTATGAGCGTCCATGGAGTGCAGGAGAATGTTAATGTACATTATTCCACACACTAGGACCCCTTGGCAGACCACCCTGCTCCCTCCTCCTTTGGGCTGCTATGTCTCCACTGATGACATGGTTGTTTTATCCCAAGGGAATCGGTGCTCCCTGAAGCTGACTTTGATTCTTTCTTTCTCTTGCCAACAGCTGTCCTCACCCCACCCAGGATGGAGGTCACCGAACATGGGCTGCATCTGGTTATTGAACTGGAAGACCTGGGGCCCCAGTTTGAGTTCCTTGTTGTCTATTGGAGGAGGGAGCCTGGCGCCACGGTGAGGCTTCCCACTGACCCTGGCTTTTGAGTCAAGCCTTAGAGAAGGCACATAGCTTTCTGGGGGCGAGGGAGTACACCTAGCTTTGTAGTGCTCATGGCGTAAGTGGTTTGACCAGGGTGACGTTTAAGAAAGGAGAGATGAGAGCACCAACCATCCATCCCTCGACTCCTTCCTCAAAGATCTACCTTTAGTCATCTTAGGCCTGGGCCAGGGTACTGGGCCCCTTTCGGGCCAGGGCTATTAAAGTTTGGGAGGCTGCTTCCCTAGCTTTAATGGCCCCTCCCCACTGAACCCCTAGTGATTTTTTTAAATGCGTTTTATTTTTTTTTCTCCCTCACCAGCTAGTCTCAGACACGTTGGGACAACAGGGCAGGGTGTCCCAGCTCAGGGTGCTCCGGGTGACTTCAGAAGCGCAGAAGGTGGACACAAACCTCTCAGGGTGTGTGTCTTGGCAGAGCATGGAAGTGGGGCATGGAGCCAGGAGCTAGCTTATGAATAAGGCTATCTAATTATTATCCAATGGGCCGTGCAGAAAGCCTGGAAGGGAGCTGCCCTTCCCCATGGGTCGGTTGCTGTAGTCTGGGGTGAGTGGGAGGCCAGTACTCATGGAAGGGTGGTCAGACGGGCAGCAGCAGAAGCATAGTGTAAAACTCTAGCAGACACAAGAGACACTGATTTCTATGGAGCCCTGTTTAAGCTGATATAATGACGGAACCTGGTGACACACTTCAGTGGGCACAAGGGAAGCTAGTTTTCTCAGAAGGATCAATATGGGCAACAGAAGTATCTCACTAAATCTGTGAGCAGAACCAGCACAGGACCAGGCAGAAGTACAGTCTTAACTACACAGGGACCCTGGCCTGTGGGAGCCTTGCTGTGTTCTCCCTGAAGGTCTTACTGTGGCCTCTCCCCTTCACTCCCAGGTCCTACCCATGCCTGTGACTGTGCCTCCCTGACTCCTCAAAGCATCTCAGACTGACCTTCCTTACACAGTCCTCTCCCTTTGTCTTCCTTGAGGTATTCAGTTTCCCAAGACCAAATCCTGCAGTCTAAGCTGTGGACAGCTGGTTGAGCTCTGTGGGACTCCTTCTCAGTCTGGGCTGTTCAGTGTCACATAGCAATATCTGGGGGCTGTGCACCCTCAGCAGAATGGGATATCGGAAGATAGCGTGGGCAGGTGGGATAGGCTATTGGCCGATATTTACCCTGCTGGGTCAGGGCACACTAGTAGCACATAGCATTGCCAGCCAGGCAGATGGAACAGGGTGGGAGAAATGCTGGGACTTGGCAGGAGAGAGCACGCATTGGCCTTCTAGTCTTTGGGAGTGGAACCTATTCCCTTCCCTTGTAACTGGGAGGCTCATTGCTGAGAGAGTGTATACCCTGAGTCATCTGGGCTGGGTCACACAAGCTTCTACAGGCTTCTCTACAGGCCCCGGGGGTTAGAGTGGGTGTTGAAGGGTGGGCAGACAGGTGGATGGATTCTGCTCGAATCTTGTCCTGTTGGACAGGCTGTTTTTAAATTCCCTGTAACCCTTGTGTCTCCTAGCCACTCTCTTTGCCTTGCCCCAATTTTTCTTCATAGCTCTAATCACTACCAGGAATGTGTTTAGGGCACGTGTGTGGGGCACATGCAAGCTCTCTGAGAGCAGGAGCTTTATGTGTTCCGTTCGGTGCTGTGTGCCTAATTGTATTACTACATTACTATATTAGTATATTAGTACAGGCCTAATAAATATGAGTGCATGAATGAAGAAGTGAATGGCTTCACAAATGAATGGCAAGGAATGTTCTCTACTCTGGAATGTTCTGGAAAAGGATTACCTGCCCAGCTCTCCCCACCATCGTTAGCTCTGCTCCCCTTAGGTACTAACTGTGTCTTGATCTTTCTTTAAAGGAACATGTTAAGGTGGTGAGGAGTGGGGACATTCCAGTGCACCTAGATACCATGGAACCAGGGACCATGTACTGTGTGAAGGCGCAGGCTCTGGTGAAAGCCATCGAGAGGCACAGTGCCTTCAGCCAGCCTACGTGTGTGGAGATGCAAGGTAAGGATAAGCTACTTGTCCCTGGGTCCCCACACTTGGCAGCGTTACCAATGCATGCCTGGATGTCCATTGAGTGTCTTTGGTTCTGAGTCTTTACCTGTCTTTAAAAGTTGGCTTCCAGGCTTGGTGGATTCTAAGGTAAACTCTGACTCCCCCTGGGCTAGAAGCCCACCCTGGGGACTGGGTAGGATTTCTTGAACAGTTGTCTGGAGCTGCCCCCAAAGCCACCTCCTTGTAGGTCACATTGTTACAAGACTAATGTGCCAGAAGGTTGCTGCCTGTGGGCAAACTTGGCTGTAGGAGAGTTAGATCTTGGAAGGAGGCACCGCACTGTATAATGAAATTACAGCCTCTTCTGTCTAGAGGGGATCTTATAGTCTATAGAATCGTCTTTTTGACTAACTTTTTTTGAATTTAAACAATTAAAAATTGTGTTTGTTATGTGTATATGTAAACATAGGTATATGTGTGTTTACATACACATATATGCATATGTCTGTATATACACACATATGCACATGTGGGTGTGAAGAACAGAGGCTGATATTAGGCATCTTCCTCTTTTTCTATTTTATGAGGCAGCCTCTCTCACTGATCCCAGAGCTTACTGACTGGCTATGCTGGCTGGCCAACAAGCTCCAGTGACTCCCAAGCGCCAGTGTTACAGATGTACACAGCCGTTCCTGGCTTTAATATGGGTACTGTAGATCCAAACTTGGCTCCTAATGCATGCTTGCCAGGCACTTTACTGACTGGAGCATCTCCCTAGACTCTGGCTCTGTCTCTCTCTGTTTCTCTTTCTCTATCTCATGATCTAAGAAAAACCTACAGTAACTAGAAACTCTTCGAAAAGAAACAAAATCTTACATCCCATGAGCCCACCATGCAAACACCACTAGTTACATTTTTCTTCTTAGCTTTAAAAAATTATTTTGAATGTATAGTCTATTCATATGGTCCATAACACATATTGTACATGTAAATTATCTTAAATTAAGTTCTCTATGTCTCTTCTCCATTTACATAGTTCCTGCATCCTTTCTCCTTAGTATGAGTTTCTTCTGAAGACATTTGAATCTATACACATGTAAACGAGGACATGTATATATAAGTATATGCATCGATATCATCTTTAAGCATAACTGATGGCATATGTACTGTTCTGAATCTTGCTTTTATGTATCTTGTAGATGTTTCTGAGTGAATAAAGAAATTCCATCATCCTTTCTTACCAAATTCTATTCCATTTGTATATGTGTGTGTGTAGGTTTGCTTGTGTGTGTATGCATGTGTGTGTATGCATGTATGTGTATGCATGTGTGTGTGTATGCATGTGTGGGTGTATGCATGTGTGTGTGTATGCATGTGTGTGTATGCATGTGTGTGTGTGTGCATGTGTGTGTATGCATGTGTGTATATCCATGTGTGTGTGCATGTGTGTGTATGCATGTGTGTGTATGCATGTGTGTGTATGCATGTGTGTGTATGCATGTGTGTGTATGCATGTGTGTGTGCATGTGTGTGTGGATGTGTGTGTATGCATGTGTGTGTGCATGTGTGTGTATGCATGTGTGTGTATGCATGTGTGTGTGTATGCATGTGTGTGTATGCATGTGTGTATGCGTGTGTGTGCATGTGTGTGTGCATGTGTGTGTGCATGTGTGTATGCATGTGTGTGTATGCATGTGTGCATGTGTGTGTGCATGTGTGTATGCATGTGTGTGTATGCATGTGTGTGTGCATGTGTGTGTATGCATGTGTGTGTATGCATGTGTGTATGCATGTGTGTATGCATGTGTGTGTATGCATGTGTGTGTATGCATGTGTGTATGCATGTGTGTGTATGCATGTGTGCGTGTATGCATGTGTGTGTATGCATGTGTGTGTGTTGGCTAATTTAACTGATCTGCTACTGGTAGAGTTAGATTTCCCCAACCAAAATTCCCTTGTGCATAATCACTTTTGCTGATACATTATACATATATATGTATACATGTATGTATATAAGTATGTATGTAAGTATGTATGTTTGAATGATAAATTCCTGGAAGTAAAGTAGCTGGGTCAAAAGACATGTATTTAACGTTGACACTGTTGTAAATACCCTCTAAAGAATTATGACCCTTCAATTATCACCCATATGAAGACATGCTGCAGCACAATATGACATACATGATATATCTGGTTTGTTTTTCACAAATACATTCATAACATTTTTCTCCTGTGGGGAGACACTCTATATTCAAACTGTAACAGCAAGTCTCTTGAGCAGCATGAGGAAGCATAAAGGAATACCTACTTTTTTAATAGTTCTGTATTGTTTGGATTTTTCATAAGCTTGACAAATAATTATTTAAGTACCAAGAAGTGTAACTCTCCCTCCCTTTGGTTGCTTCTTGTTAGGCATTTGATCACAACACTGAGGAAAGTCACAAATACATTTTTCCAGGTAAATCCACCGTTTATTCTTCCACTGTGGTCTGTACCTTCCAACACTTCTCAACACAGGGACCCGAGTGTTTTCTCTCACATGGCTCAGCTGCACGTTGTAGCACACTGTGGCCAGTGTGGGTCTACCATTGTTTTTTTTGTTATTGTTGTTCTTGTTTTCTGGTTTTTTGTTTCTCCTTCTTCTCATTCTCCTCTTTCCTCTTCCCCTTTCCCCTTACTTTCCCCTTTTCCTTCTCTTCCTCTTCTTCCTCCTCCTCCTCCTCCTCCTCCTCCTCCTCCTCTTCCTCCTCTTCCTCCTCCTTCTTCTTTGATACAGGGTCTTACTATGTAACTCTAGATGTCCTGAAACTCACTATGTAGATCAGACTGGCCTGGAACTCAGAGATACACCTGTTTCTTTCTCCCAAGTGACTACCTATGCTCAAATTCCCGTGTATTTTCAATATGTCTATGTATGATATTAAAGGATAACAAACTTCTTGGTCAAAAAAAGGTTTATGCCTCTATGCCTGGCTTACGTTACTTTAAAAAGACACACAGTAAGCCATTATGTACAAGTATATCTTTATTGATAGCAATACCATTTACTCTCCAAATATTTTCCATTATCGGTCAAACTGTAATCTGTCTATCCTATTTCTTTTAACAGCTGAATTGCTAACCTACCATGCCAATGTTCCATACTAATCAGCCTGTTTTGTTTGGCATTTAAATCATTCCCATTGGCTCTGGAAGATGCTGTTCTTCCTTCTATTTCAATATTTGCAGAGCACTGACTACATGCCAAATCTTGGCCTGTCTACTGGGTCAGAGAAGGGAGTCCCTGCCTTCCAGTTATGGAGGCAAACAGCAAGCTAATATCATATAAGGGGTGTGTGTGTGTGTGTGTGTGTGTGTGTATTGGGGGTGGGGGGAGCCCTGCAAGGAGAGGCACAGCATGCAGGACGCATGAACGGCAGAACACTAGTGGGCAGGATGGAGATGGATGATAGCCTGTGGCTCTTGTCTGGACATTCCTGTACACTGACTGATGTACGTACTTATTTCCTTCCTTGGAGTGATTTTCTGGGAATGGACATCACAGGAGAGGATTGGAAGGGTATGAACATTGTACATTTTTTGATATCTACTGCCAAAATATTTTCCAAAAGTGAAACAATGCATATGCCCCACCCCACACGCTGCAGCCACATGAGCTGAGTCACCCCTAACATTGTGGGTGAAAGGCCTAGGCAGGGGGTGATAAACAGGTTGTTTGAGGTTAGATAGAACGGAGAGGTGGGAAACCAGCTCATCCCCTCTTCTGAGTCTCCAGATGCTCAGATCTGGTGCTTTTTGCTATATTTGTTAGCAAACGCATCACAGGCTTCGGAGCTAGACCTACCTGTGTATCCTGGCATAGGCCATTAGCCCGTCTTGAGCATAAATAACATTCTCTTCCATGAAAGAGGTCCTTGTTGAGAGGAGCAGAGGCCTAGACCTTAGCAGAGTCCTGGGGGATGGGAGTAGACCTAGCGTATGTAATAGAGCCCTGGTCTGTCAGTTATTATGTGACTCTTTAGGGGACTTAATATTTTCCTCCATCATAGGAGTCAATGCCAAGAGCAAATTGTGAAACACTTTGTTTTTGGCTTCCGCCGAGCCCTGTTCTGGGCTGTTCTGCTCCGGCACCTCCTCCTCATCCTGCCTGGGGCCTGGCACCCTGCCTTCCTCTGGCAGTAGTGCCAGGTACACACTACCACGGACAATGTCTTGCGTTCCCCCTTCCCCTTCCCAAGATGGAGATGGTAATCATCTCTGTGGCTTTCTGAAAAACCACACTCGAACTGAGCTTCTAGAAGAATGGTGGTAGCTGTAGCCGTTGGAGGACACACCAAGTCTCAGGGCACTGTCATCTGCCGGCTTGGCCTGAGTGCAGCCCTAAGAAACTCTCCAAGGTGCAGGACTGGGGTTCCCCTTCCCTGCTGTTCCCAAGCCTTCTCTTATGCTTTGTCCACAGGAGAGTCTCTTCCGCTGGCACTGGCTCTGTTTGCATTTGTTGGCTTCATGCTGATTCTCGTGGTTATAATACTCTCCATCTGGAAAATGGGCCAGCTGCTCCGGTATTCTTGCTGCCCCACTGTTGTCCTCCCAGACACCTTGGTAAGAACATTCTTGTACCTTTCGGTATGATGCTGGCCAGATGCTTCATGGGCCTTAACAGGGCATGGACACACTTTTCATGGTTTATGCAGAGAGTAGAGCAAGCAGTAATGGGACTTCACTTGTCTTAGTCTGTGCTGCTATAACAAAATACCACAGACTAGGTCATTTATGGAGAATAGAAGTTCAGTGGCTTCTGGAGGCTGGGGATGGTGGTGGTAGAATGAAGACAGAAGGGTCTTGTGAGTAAAGGTCTTCTTTCTATTACAACATGGTTAAATGTGATAGAAGTAAGAGATAGAACAAAACTTCAAACCGGCAGCCGTAAGGCCTTATAGCCTACATTTCTGAAGTTGGGGCCTCATCACCTCCCAGTTTCTTCCCCAACCCTGTGTCACTGGGCTTTTGTTTCCAATATGTGGTTTTGAGGAGATGCTCGGGTCAATGACTCCTGATCAGAAGTTCTGGGTGAGTTCTTCCTTTTCCAGGGTTTAGTGAGCACCCTGAGGCTCTGGCAGGCCATTATGCTGTCCGCACGGACCTGGCATTGCCAAGAGAGTGGTTGTATTATTCAGCCCAGGGGGCCTTCAGTTTCAAGAGCCATGAAATCTTAATCTTTCAAGGTGTCTTCTGAGTGCTCTTAGCTCCCCAATTCTAACAGCAGCTATGCCTAGTAACGTGTTCTGACTCAAAATACTCAGTCTCTGTGCAAAGAGTATTCTCAGATTTGAAGATCATGTAGTGTGGAATACACTTTGTGTTGGACAGGCATGGCGTAGGCAAGGCCTTCCTAGTGACCCACAAGCCAGAGATGCTAATTTTTCTCTTGAAAACATGGACCATGGCTCTGAGCCTCTGGGTAGGAATAGGCCCTGTGTGCCTGCACCCTGGGGGGAGGGGGGAGTAAAGACAAGCCTCAGTAGCTCACAAGTGTTCTACCTGTGGCTCTTCAGAGGCCTCCTAGGTCTCAACCACACTAGTGGCATAATCAAAGAAAGAAAGAACAAACAGGAAGCAGAGCAAGCCCTCCATCCCTGTCAGGTTAAGGGTGTCACAGTTCTGTCTTGCGGGGAGTTAGCAGTCAGTTTCTTCAGTGCATCAAAACCAGCTCTGTCTGTAGTCCTCATACTTCTGGAGTTTCTTAACAGCCTGCAGTTACAATGCAGCTGCTCTTGTAACATCTGCTTGGTTTGCTTTTGGGTCTATATAAGAGGAATAACTCTCCCTTTAATCCAGTCTTCAGAGTGCCCCACCACCCTTCTATCATAATACCAACTCTCCTGTCTCTAATATTTCCAAGTAGTCATGACAATGTTAGCTGCCAGTAGCAGAGCTGAGCACCAGGGCTGCTGTGAGGATGCTCATGAATTGATTCAGATCACTGAGTTTCCCTGACTTCTGTCTGCTGCTCGGTTGAGAGAACACTGTAAAGAAGCTAACTACGAATGTAGCTGCATCTGTTTCTTCCTGTTTGTCAACTTTCTATGCAGATTTATTTATTTATCTATTTATTTATTTATTTATTTATTTATTTATTTATTTATTTATTTTTGAGATAGGGTCTTACTATGTAGTTCTGGCTGTCCTGGAACTCTATAGTCCAGGTTAGCCTGGAACTTGCAGATCCACCTGTCTCTCTGCCTCCCTGGTGTGTGCCACCACACCCAGAAACTTTTCATACATTTTGAGTGCATACACATTTATGATTGCTGGATCTTCTTAACTAAACTTTTCAGCATTCTGATGAGTTTCTTTTTATCTTTGATAATATTTAATTCTTTTTGTTCGTTGCTTATGTGGTATATCCTTTATAAAGCTCTGTGTTCAAGTTTAAAGTGTGTCTCTTGTAGACAGTTGATTTGGTTTTCTGTTTTGTTTCTGTAAGTCACTTCTGGTAATCTCTGCCTTTTAAAAATGGCTTGTTTAGTCCATTAACATGTAATATAATGATTGATACAGTTGTATATTGGTTATGATTTTATTTTTTGTTTCTCCATCTGTTTTTGTTTTCTATTTTTCTTTTTCTGCCTCTTCTAGGGTTTATTAAGTAGATTATAAGTACACACACACAGTTTCCTTTCTTCTCTTTTCTTTTTATTGAGGCTTCCTTTGATCTCACTATATATTCAAGGATAACCTTGAACCTCCCTGCTCTACCTCCCAACTGCTGTTTTATGTGACACTGAAGATTGAGCCCAGGGCCATGGTACATGCTAGTCAAGTGCTTTTGTAAGCCAGTCCCAAGTATATTATAAGCTTCATATTTTTTTGTTATTCTTGACATTATTTTTTCATAGTTGTTTTAAGTATTACCATATATATGTCCTTACATTTTTTAAAGATTTACTTGCTTTTATTTCATGAGTATGGGTGTTTGTATATCTGTCAGTGCACCATATGTACGTAGTATTCACAGAGGCCAGACAAAGGCATCAGATTCCCTTACAACTTATTGTTGTAAGGATGCTCATATTTTATTTTATTTTAATTTTATGCTTTATACTCTTACAAAAGAAAGCATTTAACTGGGGGCTTGCTTACAGTTTTGGAGGGTTAGTCTATGATCATGATGACAGGAAGCAGACAGGCAGGCTTGGTACTGGAGCAGTAGCTGAGAACTTTACATTCTGATCTGCAGGCAGCAGGCAGAGGGGCGGGGTGTGGGAGAGATAGATGCTGGGTCTGACGAGGGCTTCTGAATCCTCAAAGCTCACTCTCAGAAATATTCTTCCTCCAACAAAAGCCATATCTCCTAATCCTTCCCAGACAGTTCATCAGCTGTGCACCAAGCATTCAGACGTAGGAGCCTATGGGAGCCGTTCTCAATCAAACCACCAGAGAGAGAGAGGGTCAGGCTTGGGGTAGAGAACTGGGTAGATCTTTTCAGAGCTATTTCTTAGTAACCTATTTTTCTAATGAGGCCCTGCCTCTTACTTTTCATGGCCTCCAATAACATCATATTGGGAACACGTTGAGGGATTATTCCATTGACAGATCAGACCCCTCATGCTTTAATTGCTTGCCCAAAGCCTGCCATTATCAAGCCCTTGTACATGAGCCAATGGGAGATGATTTAGGCTACTTAGTGATGGACTCGTTGCAAAGTTGCTCTCCATGTGTTTAAAACCAGCTATGGCAATACACTAGGGTCTCTGGGAGAAACTACTGGAGTGTGAAAAGGGGTAGGAAAAAGCTTTTTCTCAGGGTGCTCTCTGGGCTTGGCACTGGGGTAGGTATTGTGTAAAGCCTCACAGAGCAGATCCTTCTTCTCAGAGCTCTCTGGTGGTAGAAAGGTGGAGCCCCTCTCCCCAGAATTATATCTGAGTTTTCGTGGGACTGTTCTCTGAGAAAAGCACTGACTCAGCAGGGCCATGTGGGAATTGCTAGACAGAGGGCCAAGAGAGCATCTCAGCAGAATCTGGGAGCCACTGACCTCAGGGTTGGGTTGTCCTAGAGAGTTTTGCTTCTTTAAAGTTAACAAGGGCTGGGAAGATGACTCAGTGGTTAAAGTGCTTGCCCCCACAGGCACCCATTTTGAGGATCAGAGTTCGAATCTCCAGAACCTATATAAATACCAGATGAGGGATCAAGGAAAACTTATAGTGTCAATGTAGGGCCTTAACATACGATCACATTCACCCACTTACACATGTGAGAACACACACACACACACACACATGCTCACGCACATGCACACGTATGCTTGTAAAGGAAGTTAAATAGTTGAGATTTCTATAACAGTTTTTGTTGCTGCCATTGTTCAAGCAATGTCTAATGAATGATTTTTTTTATGAAAATGAATTTTTAGAAAATAACCAGTTCATCCCAGAAGCTAATCAGCTGCAAGAAGGAGGAGGTGGACGCCTGCGCTGTGGCTGTGCTGTCCTCAGAGCATCTCTTTGGGGTCTGGATCTCACAGACTTGAGAAGGACCTGATGGATTAACAGCCTGGTCTGCAGGACCCAGAACCCTGGATGAGGAGGGTTGTGTTTCTGTTTTCCTCTGTGGACAAAAGACAAGAGAAGTAACGGGAGCCTGCTGTGTGCATGTCTAGCAGCAGCGTCAGAGGCAAAGTGGCGTGACCAACCAAGAATGACAGAAATAGTCTGGAGAAGAGATCCCCAGACCCACAGTTACCATACACTCACTGAATGACAGTGGAGAAAATGGCTTCATCCTTGCGGATCCCCGCTTTGTCACCTGTAGTGGGAATCAACCAGACGGTTTAAACGGTTTCTCCCCTCTTCTCTGCATATGTACAAACCAGCACGTGCAGGTTGGCAAGGAGACTGGTGGCCCTGTGCACGTGAGTTCAGATCTGGTGACTGTGGGGTGTACGTGTGTACTAAGAGTGCTCAGGACTGGAGCCATCATCTTAGCACTTAGGAGGAGCGGGAGAGAAAATCTCAAGTTTGGCGCCTGGATGACACACTGAAACCCTGTCTGAAGTAAACAACCAAACAACCAAGAGTAATAAAACTCCTTTTATCAAATCAAACTCAGACCACTGTTGGTTTGGACTTCATCTTTACCAGAGGAAACCTGAGGAGGGCCATTTCACTTCATGCCAAATCCTGGCTGGAATGTTAGGTCAGCAAGTTCTGCTGAGGGTGACATCGAGGGAGGCCATAGGCTATCCATGATGGGACACGTGTGGATGTTGCTGTGGGTTCATGAAATGTCATCAGATTCTAGGACCTTGTCTACAGTAAATCCCACAAGCCCACTTCCCAAGGAAAATTCACTCAGGGTTTCTCAGCCCCTCCCAGATGCTCACCTGGAACCCCTGACTAGTCATTACCATTTCTTACTACCTTCAAGCAGGGAGGTAGGGGTGGGGGACAGCTTTGGTCAGAGGAGGATGAAGGGAGGTGGCTTTATCTCTCTCTGCACAGTTAGGCTCACTACCACCTCTCAACGACGTCAACCAGGTGCTTCCTGTCCATCTTCAGCACAGAAGCTCCGGCCTTTGGGGACTCCAGGAGAAAGGACAGCTATGTAGGGGTGTGGGCTGAGACTCCCTGCCTTTGTTCTGTTTTGTATATTTCCTCCTTGACTCTTTTGTGAAGTGAGTTTTAGTTTCATATTTAAACTGGTCTGGAACCATATGTGCTGTTTACAGAATTAAAAATTGCATACCAACATTAGCCTTCATGTTTTCTCCCCTCTCTTCCCTGCCCCCTCACCCCAGGGACCTCGTCCTTCTGTTACCTAAGCTCAGAATAAAGAAATAACCCCAGCCTTCCTCTGTTACCGTTTCTCATGGGATTCTACCTGGTTTTACTGGCCTCTGTAGCTACATAGACACCTCTGTCAATTATTCTATTGTCTCTTCAGGTCCCAAACATGTGGTTATTGGACCCCAGCCAAACATCAGAAACAGAGCTGGCTCCTGATGGGGCATAGCTCCCTCCTCAAAGCTGGGTTACTTTCTCCTGGAACTCTCTTTCCTCCCTCTACCTGTGTAACAGTTTCAATTGTCAGCTTGATACTATCTAGAGTCATGTAGGAAGAATCCGAGTGAGGGACTGTCTAGATCAGGCCGGCCTGTGCTCGTGTCTGTGGGGGATTGTCTTGATTATGTTAACTGACGTGGCCTTTGCGCACTTTGAGGCTTCCCACAGACCTAGGTTCCCTAGCTGTGCCTTCACAGAACACTTAGCACCATCCCAAAACAAAATCGTGCTTCATGGGGCTTGGATTTCAATGAACAATGGGGAAATGATTAAACAATAAGGTATTATTGGTAAGTGAATTATTAGTAAACTGAGAATTTATAAGCCTTACAAAAAAGTGAAAAGGTAGAGCATAAAGCAGGCCCGGGCAGGCTGCAGGCATCTCAAGATGAAAATGAACGCAAACACCTGAACCCACACTTCTGTCCCCATGTAGCACCTGGTGTGAGAGATTATGTGTGACTTGAGTCACAGTAACTTGGCAACAAATCCTCAGGGGTGTGCTGTCTAAATCAAAATTTATTCAGTGTTTGTACTGTTTCTATTGATAGTTCTTTAAAAAGTTATTTTCCTAAGCTATCAGATAAAGCAAATGAATAATCTTTATTCTGAAAAAAAAAAACCTGTTTTTTTTGATTCAAAACTGTGGAGGGTCAATTGTGGACATCAAAATTTGCATAGGGACAGTGTGTCATTAGAACCAAATCTTTGATGGCCAGAGTTATGTCAACTTAAGACAAGCTAGAGTCATCTGAGAGGAGGGAACCTCAGTTGAGAAAAATGCTTCCAGAAGACTGGGCTGTAGGCAAGCCTGTGGAGCATTTTCTTAATTAGTGATTGATGGGGGAGGGCATCTCAGTATGGACAATGCAATCCCTGGGCTGGTCTTTCAGGCTTCTATAAAAGAGGCAGGCCGAGCAAGGCCACCGGCCTCCGTGTCGGCAACTATGGGTTCCTGCCCTGCTTGAGTTCCCACCCTGCTTCCCTCTGTGATGGATTGAAAGTGTAAGCAAAATAAACCGTTTCTTTCCCAAGTTATTTTTTGACGTAACAGTAATAGAAATCCTAAGACAAATATGGAGTCACGCCTGCATAAAATGCACAAGTCTTTTGCGCCACCTAAAGTTGGAAGTCACACCATTTGAAACTCACGGGCAGATAATTTGGCGTTAAATAAAAGTTCTTTTGCTCTTTCCTGCTGAAATGGCAGGGTAAAGTCCCCCCCACCCCGCACACACACACAATGCACACTGATGATGACATTTTGATCCCCAATGTTGTTTATCTTCCAAGAAGTCTAGGTTTCTTAGAACAATAGTTAATTCCATGTCTGGTCTGGAACTAAAAGGCTCGTGGGAATTCTAGAACATTTATGCCTTGCTCCACCAGAAAATCAAGTTTTGAACAGTTGGGTCAGTCAAAACTTTACATAACCAGTCAAGGAGTCTCTACTGGTCACAGGTGGGATAGAGATGAGCACGCCAAAGAGAAAGGCTATCCATTGATACGATCATTGACATCATCAGCCCATAGGGATACCCAAGAAGATGCTCAGACAAACTAAGTCTCAAGATGAATTAAGTCCAGTGAGATGGCTCAGCTGGTAAAGGCTAAAGGCAATGGCAGAGTGGGCCTGGAAACCTGGGTTCAAACCACAGGGAGGGCTGCAAGGAGGGAGCCAATGCCACAGAGTTGTTCCCTGGCATTTGCACAGTGGCGTACACACACACACACACACTCTCAACACACATATAAAAGTACATATTTGAAAAAGAGCAAGAGTGTGTATTTCTGCTGCGAACTTTTCAGGTCTTGGAAAGTGTCTATGTCCAAAAAATCCCCCAGTCTTGGCTCAGCTCAAGGGAGACTATAGGAGGATTATTGGTGGCTAGATAAGAGTCAGCATGCCTCAGGAACTTGTGAAATGGGTTTCCCTCTGCCAAAAGGAGTCATTTCCCTTGCTTCTGGCAGAGGAGATACATGGCTCTCCATGGATACATACCCATGGCTGCATATCAAAGTCTATGCTAGCAGGCCTCCAGGTTTCCTCAGACCCTACTTATACCCCAAAGCCCAGGTTAGCATCCTGGCCCTTCCCACTCCTCCCCCAACTATGCTAACTCCAAGGCTGCCTCTGTTCACAGGCTTCCCTCTCTCAGCTCTCTCTATAATGGCCAAGACTTTCTCCCTTTCCCCCATGCACTATTCTTTACTATTCTTCTTGCTACTCTGGCTAGTTTTTTTATACTATTCTATCACACACACACACACACACACACACACACACACACACACACACACAC